CCAAGCCCCCAAAATTCCACCCCAAATCCCAAAAATTCCACCCAAAATCCCAAATTCTGACTTTAAACCCCCAAAACCCCAACCCAAACCCCCAAAATTCCATCCAAGATCCCAAATTCTGACTCCAACTCCCCAAATTCCAATCCCAAGCCCCCCAAAATTCCACCCCAAATCCCAAATTCCAGCCCCAAAACCCCCAAAATTCCACCCCAAACCCCCAAAATTCCAGCCCCAAATCCCAAATTCCAACCCCAAACCCCCAAAATTCCACCCAAAATCCCAAATTCCAGTCCTAAACCCCCCAAATTCCACCCAAAATCCCAAAAATTCCACCCAAAATCCCAAATTCCAGTCCTAAACCCCCAAAACCCCAACCCAAACCCCCAAAATTCCACCCGAAATCCCAAATTCCAGCCCCAAACCCCCCAAAATTCCACCCGAAATCCCCAAAATTCCACCCAAAAACCCAAAAATTCCACCCCAAATCCCAAAATTCCACCCGAAATCCCCAAAATTCCACCCAAAATCCCCAAAAATTCCACCCAAAATCCCCAAAACTCCACCCCAAACCCCCAAAATTCCACCGAAATCCCAAATTCCAGCCCCAAACCCCCCAAAATTCCACCCAAAATCCCCAAAATTCCACCCAAAAACCCAAAAATTCCACCCAAAATCCCAAAAATTCCACCCAAAATCCCAAATTCTGACTTTAAACCCCCAAAATTCCACCCGAAATCCCCAAAATTCCACCCAAAATCCCCAAAATTCCACCCAAAAACCCAACAATTCCACCCCAAATCCCAAATTCCAGCCCCAAACCCCCAAAATTCCACCCGAAATCCCAAATTCTGACTTTAAACCCCCAAAATTCCACCCAAAATCCCAAATTTGAGCCCCAAAACCCCAAATTCCAGCCCCAAACCCCCCAAAATTCCACCCAAAATCCCAAATTCTGACTTTAAACCCCCAAAATTCCACCCCAAACCCCCAAAATTCCACCCGAAATCCCCAAAATTCCACCCGAAATCCCAAAAATTCCACCCAAAATCCCAAATTCTGACTTTAAACCCCCAAAATTCCACCCAAAATCCCAAATTCTGACTTTAAACCCCCAAAATTCCACCCCAAACCCCCAAAATTCCACCCGAAATCCCCAAAATTCCGCCCGAAATCCCAAAAATTCCA